CTGTTGCTGTTGCTGTTGCTGTTGCTGTTGCTGTTGCTGTTGCTGTTGCTGTTGCTGTTGCTGTTGCTGTTGCTGTTGCTGGTGCTGGTGCTGGTGCTGGTGCTGGTGCTGGTGCTGGTGCTGGTGCTGGTGCTATTGCTGGTGCTGGTGCTGGTGCTGGTGCTGGTGCTGGTGCTGGTGCTGTGGGGGGGGTGGGGTGGGCGGGGCGGCGGTGGGGTGGGGGTGGTCTTGGTTTTGGAAACATTGGCGTTCTTGGTGTTCTTGGTATCCTTGGAGTTCTTGGTGCTCTTGTTGTTCTTGTTGTTCTTGTTGTCGTCGTCGTCGTCGTCGTCGTCGTCGTCGTCGTCGTCGTCGTTGTCCGTCGTCGCCGTCGTCGTGGATGTCGTCGTGCTTGCTCCTGATGAAATGCTGCTTCTCAGCAAGAGTCTGTGAGCGGGACACTTGAAGTTTGAATTGCAGAACCGTTGGCTTGACAGCCAGCTAGTCTTGGAGCGTGAGGATGATTGACATCAGAAAGTCTGGAATTGCTAGTTACCCTGTAGTGGCATGGGCTTTCGGGCAACTTCAGTTGGCCATAGTTTGCCAGCCTCCTTCTCCGTGGTGATCTTGATGGGGATCGGATGCTCCACATATGGAGTGATCCTCTCCACATTCACCTGCCACCAAACTTACGATATTGACATGTCTTCGAACATGCCAGATGACGGGATCTCCAAGACTGTGTTGGAGGGGTGTTCGCGGCCGGCCTCGGTGTAGGTTCTCCTCTGCCCATACTGATCTTCCTTGAGGAAGGGAGCGTCCCACCTCGGGGATGCATTCTGCTGTCGGCATTCTCACGCCCTTCAACCCCAGGCTCAAGCTCTTGACGCACGCTACAGCTTCTGAGCTGTGAACAGCAATCCAAACCTGTAAGGTTTCCAAAGCACTTTAATGTATGACTCACAATTGATTCATGGATTGAGATCTGCCAACACTTTCCAGGGGTCTACTGTACGAGCTGCGGTAAAGACCAAAACTACGAGCGGCGCCCAGTACCCGCAGAACATGCGAACTCGCCGAGTCGGCAGCCACTCGACATCGGGGATGGGTTCTCTCCTGCCAGGCGGATGACGTTTCCCTGGCCCTTCTCGCATGGCCAAAGGGTTTCAAGGTCCTCATGACTTTGGGCTCGATTTTTTTGACCGGCTGCTCCTTTTCCTGCGTGGCTCGCAGGCACGCAGCAATGACAGTCACATGGGAGGTGTGAAGGCGTAGCCACCAGCTGGCGAATGCCTGCCGGAGTCACCAGTCCCGGCCTCCTCCTCCTGCTTCTTCTCCTGCTTCTTCTGCTCCTCCTCCTTCTTCTTCTTGTCGTCCTTCTTGTCGATACCCAGGGCCTGTCAGAGGCACGCCTTAATCTTCGTCCGGGGAAGATGTCGAAGAGCCTTCTCCTGAACTTTCTTGATCATCTTTTGCTCCTTCTTCACAAGTTCACCCTCCTCAATGAACCTGACGGCACACGAAAACAATGCCACATCACAATGCGTCTCCATTTCTTTTGCCATCCGGGTCAGAGGGCATGTCACAAGCTTGGAGTTCATGCCGCGCCGGATCCCCTACATGGACTATACTCCGCCGTCACCAGAAGCCTCGCAGCCCATTCAAACCCTGAACCTCATCGCGAGCGACGAACACAAGAACTACTTCAAGGCTGGCCTGAAGTTTCGTCGCTTTTGCCGCTCGAATCTTTCCTTTCTCAGATGGCTGTTTCCGGGTATTCACTGATGCTTGGAAGATCTGCTAGTTTCAAACTCTCTCCCGCCAGCCTTCACCTTGAGGGTCGAGTCGAAGTATGAGCTCTCACCCCCGGCAGCGTCCTCGCGAGCTGCGGGGCTCAGAGCCAGGGAGTTGAAACTCTTGATACTGGAGTCTTCTCCATAGTTTCGCACCGCAGGGCGTTAACCCGAAACGAAAGCACTAAACCGTAACCCGAAGCCTTATTCTCGAAAACGCAAAGCTGCAGCAGGGCCGCTTCCTTCTTCAGGCCCAGGATCTTCTTTAGCCTGGCCTCCTTCTCACGGTTGATGTTCACTTTGAGTGTGCTGACCACCTGCACGAGGGCGGATCCAAAGGTCGGCATTTTATTCCAGTGTTTGGGATGTGTGCCGGCCATTTGCACATCCGGGGCTACAGCCCTGAGATCATTTCAGGCTTGGCAAGCTGAACGGGTTCAATACGTTGTGGCTGTGGGCTTCGGGGCTTCGGTCTTCGCTTCGAGAGCAAGCGGTCGCCGTCTACAGTAGACTCAGGTTGTGTTTGATTCATGCTTAGTCTGTGTTGTGCACATCCTCGGTGACGACTGCTAATATGATGGCAGCTACCATTCTTACCACCTTTGCTTCAGTTGTCCATTCCTGTTATCGGAACAGCCCTCCCGGAACTCACGCACCAAGGACTATGCAGCAGACCGATGGGTGTTGGATATTTGGGTTGGTGACCCCATTGCACAGACCAACAGCAGCAATGAGTGCCGATTGTTAGGCCATTCCACTGCACCCTCAGCGCTGAACCCGGCTGGCCTGTGGCTTCATGGGAACGACCTGTCCATCCTCGTCCAGCTCACGGCCGAATTCATCGAGGATCAGCTTTCTCGCCTCGGCAGAGCTAGGAAGTAAGTAGTACTTCGGCGCTGGCTCCCGGAAAATAAAACCGCTGCTCATGCAACTCGAGCAGAGCTTCTGCCACACCCACTTGATTCGGACGTGAGGGCTCATACCTGCCTGCATCACGCAGTTGAAGCCATGGTTTCATCGCAGTTGCACGAACTGCACTAAGTGCCTGCAACCTGTCGTTGCTCCCAAAGATATCATGTCGACAAGCTACAAGCCCCATGTCGAGTATGCTTGCAGAGGCTACAGCTCGACGCTCGGACGAAATACTTAAGCAAGCGACTCGCCTCTCGTGAGCCTTCTTGTGAGCGGTGCATGGCCTACTGTTGCCTGAGCTCCACACCTTCGGCGCTTCTGCACCCATGAAGCCTCCACCAAGGCCTTGCGCATGTTTATTTTATTTTATGATATCCTATTATATTATATTGTTCTTCTGTATATAGTATATTGCGTTATACTATATTATATAGTATTATATCATATTATATAGTATGAAATAATATTATAGTATATTGTATTTTATTATATTATATT